TCTGAAAAACCAAAAAAGGCAAAGATTTTTTAATAACAATATTTGAAAGTAGAGGGCAAAAGATGTATAACAAGCCATTACATTGGTTTTTACGACATCGCCATCAGAACAAAAACAATAGTTTGAGATCCATGACAAAAGTATTTTCTTTCCATGTTAGTTCTTTTAGATGTGAGCACTGTTATTTAGTTTACCAGATCTCAATATAATTTTTATGTGTACGTTATTTAATTGCTTCATAAAATTTATTGTTAATTTTAGGTTAGATTCAAGTTTTTTCTTATTTACCCCTACAAAATTTTTCACCTGGGTGGAGTAAAAGGGACCAACTGAAACTTTATCCTGGCCTATTAAGCTAAAAAATCAATTTTACAAAAAATAAATTAAATAGTTATTTTAATTCTACTGATGAATATTTCTGACAAGATTCCAGATCAAGGTTATATACAATTTATAAAATGCAAAATATAAATTTCCTGGGTAAAAAGATTACCCAGAAAATTTATATTTTGCATCGGTTTAATAATGTACCTATAATTCCATAAAATTCCTATTTGTCCCCTGGCCGTCCTATTTTACCCCGCCTATGGAATAAAAAGAACCAGGTGACAAACTTTTCAGAAACAGTTTATAAAACACAATTCTACAATTATGAATTAATTAGTAATATGCTAGCGAACAAATTAGATATACTTTTGAAAAATAAAGATCTCTACTGACTAGCAAATCAAATATCTAAATAGACAGATAATCAAATATCTTAGTAGACAAGAAAAAGAACCCTTCTGAGGAGCAAATTGAATATATAGGTGAACTGGAATGTTGCTAATTAATTACTATTATTTTTGAGTTATTTGACAAAAACCAAAAAATGTACCGATTTTTTTATTTATTTAAAAAAATATTATCGAATTCAAAGTCGTTTTATTCCAAACTTTTATATAGGAGTGTATATAACCGTTGGCATGAAATCGTAGTAAATTTTATCTAGTTTCTTCCTATCTAACTGAAAAGGGGTGCTTTCATATGATTTTTATGAGTTATTTGACAAAAACCAAAAAAATGACCGGAATTTTCTGTTAAATGCTAAAGAATATGAAAGATCGAATTCAAAGTTGTTTTATTCCAAACTTTTATATCGGGGTGTATATAAGTGTTACCAAAGAATGTAGTAAATTTTATTTAGTTTCACCCTATATTAAGTTCTTAATTATTATTTTATTAGAAACATTCCAGTTTACATATAAGTCTTTACATAATGTTACTTTTTCCTATATATTAGTTTTAGTTATTTTTATCTCTATCATTGCCTCAGTTTAGTTAATTTATATTCTGTTTCTTTCAATTTTGTAATTTGTAGTTCACTGAAGATATGACATAAGATTACATGTCGAATAGTAATTTTTTTTTATTATAAACTATTACATGTTTTATTTGATGTATACCTTGCCTTACTGATTTTGGATCGCATATTTCAACATCAAAACCATGTAAAATATTTTAATTTTTAAATTTCCATGATAGCAACAAGCAATACCTTATTGTCAATATCAATAAATTCATAATTCCATTCCTAGTAGCTCGTCAATAAATGAAATATTAATATGTATCATGGAAAGAAGATCAGAAATGCCCAAAAATGTGATAAATTTGTAATTCGACCTTTTTTACGAGGTGACGGCTCGTTGCAAAGAAAGCTATCCTGATGTCCTTTGCCTTGTCATTTGTCAAATAATTTGTCTTGTCGAAGAAAAAGTGATAGTCTTTTAAAAGGATAAAGATTTATTAGTTTCATAAAGAATATATAGAATTAAGAAACATCAACGCGTTTCATCCAAGGGTTTTTAATATTTTGAAATCGGTATCTGAGAAAACGTCAACGAAAGTCAATTTTTGATTCAGAGACATATTTATTTCCGAATTCGGCGTCAAACTATTCAGAATGACGTAAAATAGACATAACATTAGCAAATCGGATTTTCTCCTTTGTGAATATACTGAAATCGTTTCTAAATCCGTCTCGGTTTCTTGTCAAGAATGAAATTCAAGCACAGTCAGTCATTAGCAAAATGACAGGGCAAACACTTGGACTGCTGACATACCACAACTGTTCACTACACTGTTTCAGAACAAAAAAAACAATTTCTACTCAATTTAAAAAAGTACTTATATATTCTTATGTATGAATTTAAAGAAAAATTCAATTCAATTTATTAATAGTAATAGAATGAAAAACATCCTTATATACCTCCTTAAGAAATAATCAATAAACAAATTGTTAGTAAACTACATTAACATATAATTAATTAATATAAAATTGATTTTTTACAAATTGTTTAATAATTAGTTAATGATTTTTAAATTAATGAAAAATAATCAAACAATAAAATAAATAAAAATGTACTTATAATAAAAATATAAGTATTACTATAAAAGTACATAAATCGTCGATTATTCAAGTATTTTTTAAAGAACCATTTTAGTAAAAATTGAAGCAAAACATTCCTTTATTATATGATAATTAATTATTACATTAATAAAGACAATTAACTAAATATTAACAAGAAAGTATAATATTGAAAATAAAATAATTCTCATGTTGTAGCTGATTTTATACAGTTTTATTTCAATAATTTGTGTTAGCTTTAAGTATTACTATTTGTATAATTAATATATATGTATATACATGATTTTAATATTTTATTCATATTTTAAGAAACTAGCGTTTTTGTTCCACGACTTGCCAAAATAATATTTGAAGTAGGATTTTAAATTTAACTATTATTATTATAATTTGATACACATGTTAAATAATACATTTTACATATTATTTTAGGACATTATACACATCTACCCCTTTTCCTTTTTCTTATTTCACTGTAAACATTGTGAAGTAGAAATGCGATATTTATTTATTTGTTGTTCTACGACATCAACCCTTATTCGAAATGATACGATATTTTCTTTTCTTAAAATTTTGACAAGTGTATTATATGACGATGAAAATAAATAAAAATAAAGAAAATCACACAGTCATCAAATTGCATCTTAAAAAAATCGAAAATTAATAGACTCATAATAGAGCTAAACATGAATAAGAAATATTAAAGGATTTTGCATCAAAATATATAAGATTTTTTTTATTTTTATATATTTTACATAATTTTTTGAGTGATATTAACGCTTATTTTTCCTTGCTTTTTCTATTAATTTATGATAGTTTAAATTTGTAAAATAAAATTTGAAGCAATAAATACAAATTAATTATAAAATTTATACCAAAGTGTAAATTCAAACAATAATGTTTGATTTATGTAATATTAATAGCAATCTATTTATTCGCAATCTATTTATATTTTACATTTTTTCGACGTAAATTAACGATATTTTTTCTGCATTTTCTGTTAATTACTGTTTATTAAATATAATATTAAATGTTCATATGAAACTTTAAACAAATGTTAAATCATATTACATAAATATTTCAATTATTAATCTTAATTATTGCAACTTATTGACCTTTTTATTGTTAACCCCCGCGAGTCCCAAGCGTTTGTTTTTAACCTGAAACGAGATGCCGTTCGAGGGTCGTTCAAAGTTCGGATGCCCCTGAACTTAAATTCGTGAATTTTTAAGATTTTTATAACAAAATGTATATTAAAACTAATTATATTGATTATATAAGATTAATAGTAACCGATTGTATTATTTTTATATATTTTACATAATTTTTACAATTAAAATTAACATAATCGATCTCCGTACACTTACATTATGATAACAATATTTTTTGCTGTTTTTTAGTTAACTCATGATAGTTTTTATCAAAATTACATATTTAAAATAAAATTATTAACCAAACATGAAAATTGTAATTTTTAATCAAATATATTGCATTTTATTCGCTTTTTAGTTGTTAGCTTCAGCGAGTTCCAAGCGCGTGTTTTTAACCCGAAACAAAGTGCCGTTTGAGGGTGGTTAAATGTTCGAGCGCCCCGAACATTTAATTCGTCAAAAACCAAGATTTTTGTATGAAACAACAATTACTTATTTATATAATATTAACAGCTATTAATTTTTTAAACAATTTTCAAATATTAACCTAATTTTCATTAAACCAAATATTATTTTACAATCCCTTTCTCCTCAAAATACGACGAACCAATAACTCGAAATCTTTTACAAGAGAGGGGCGTTCCCAGAAACATGAATATATATAAATACATATATAAATATACATATACAAATGTATATTTACACATTTGAGAATGTATTTTTGAACCCAAACTCCGCCCAGACATTAATACGTCTAATTAAAACATCTTAAGATTTCGTAAGAGAGATTAGTATTGTACAAGATTGTTCGAGAGATAACCGAATGAGAAAAAATAAGATAAAAAATACATTTTTGTAAAAAAATAAATGGAAGAAAATAATCTAAATTGGTAAATAAAGAAAATTTATAAAAAGTGTAAAATTTAACTATTATTGCATATTAAAAATTGTTATTAAAAATATTGATTTCCCAAAGGCAACTGACTAGTTTATAATTAATCCAATAAAATACTATTTTGTTAACAATTAAATAAAATAAATAATTTAATAATCATTATAAATAATGAAAATCATTAATTGAAATTGGTGCTTGTGATGTTGTTAAAGAAAATTCAGTTTATAATAAATTAGTTTAATTTAAGGACAAAATTTAGTGACACAAAACAATCACAAAATGATTGTGATTTCTACTGAATAAATAAAATATTATTCATAAATAATGTTATGTAAATTAGTTACTAAATATTACTTACTGATATAAATATTTAATATATATGTCCCTATATATAATTTATATCAAGTGAAAATTCGTTACAATACTCATTATTGTTTGTTGAATAAAATTGTGTATTTAAACTTAATAATTATTGCGACGAGTGAATTATTTAAATAATTATAAAAAAATATTTTATTTATTATTAATTATTGTGATAAATAATAATAAAATGCCAAAACTTAAGCGTCGTCAATCGATTGAGCAATATTCAGCTGATGATAGTTTCGATGATGAAATTTCAAATTCAGGATCGAGTGGTTAGTAAAAATTAATTTAAATAATATATATATATATATATACTTATAAAATATTGAAGAAATTACATTTTCACTGGAACATTCATTCGATGTTTTATATAAGTCATGCTGAATCATTGCTTTTAAACAAAAATAACTAACCATGGTACTATTAATAATTATAATTCAATTCATTAAAATATTCAGAACACGATATTTGCATGTTTGTTTACTTAAGTATAATATAAATTAATTTAATTTAATTTAATTGTATTATTCATGTATAAGTTAAATTTTCAGTAAAAAAAGTAAATTATTTTGTACTGTTGAATTTCTTTGTTTCATTCGGGCATTTTCTTTAAAATTGATTATTAAAAAAATTGAATGTTTTGTGTTATTTGTAATTTATAAGATGAAAATCAACCACCTAAAATATTATAGAAAATATTATGGAATTCATATATATGATATGCATTTATAAAAATTAATTAAAATTTCAAATTATACTTTTAGTGCAGGCAGATTATTCAAATTATTTATTATTATTAATTATCGAAGTATATTAAGCAAAGTTGAATAAAATAATCAAATAAAATATTTTATTACTATGGTAATTTTTTATGTTAAAAAACAAGTTACTCTTCAATAAATTCTACAAGAATTATCGTAAAAGTTAAAATATAAAAAAATAGTAAATTTTAAAAATACAAAATAAATTACACATTTATTAATATACTTATAAAAAATATTAATTCGCTCTTACAGAAAATTTAACTAAAAACTAATATATGTTAATTATTGAAAGTGAAAAGTTTGTTTTAGTGAAAAAAAAACGATTTACTAATTTTATGTTAACCCCGACGTTTCAAGTCATTCTGAATCGAATGAAAACAAATTTGAAAAAACTATATGTGTATGTGTATGTATATGTAAATGTTTATTCGACTTTTTAACATAAACGGTTAAACCAATTTCAAAAATTTACAAGTCGTTCGATGTAACTGGATAAGGATTATAGTTTATCAGTTTTGTGCGACGATCGGTCGAGCCGTTTCTTTGTAATTAGCAAAAAGTGTGAAATTTGTCATTCAGGTTTTAGCACAATTTTGGATCGAATTTAAAAGTTCAAAAACTGTTCAAAAGATATTGATTGGGAATCGCGTTCGGTCTGGCCGTTTCTTTGTAATTAATTGTTGACAATTAATTTTCGACGATTTTGTTGAAATTTTATATGACGATAGATTATATAGTCTGGAATAACATACTGCAATATTATAGGCCTACGATCAGCATTTAAATTATAAAAGTTTATCAAAGTTTAGAATTTCGCCGCACGTTTGACCAATTCTAATAAGAATCTGTTCTAAACATATGTGCGTTCTGTGTTTTCTAAGCTTCTTACGTCCACTCTTAAATAAAATACATTTTCAAAATACGAGAAAGATTAAATGAAATATGTTAATTCATTTATCTCTATCCTCCAGGTAAGAGTCCGCCGCAGCAGCGCAACGCAGCGAACGCCCGCGAAAGGGCTCGAATGAGGGTGCTGTCGCGCGCCTTCTGCCGCCTGAAGACGACGCTGCCCTGGGTGCCCGCCGACACCAAGCTGTCCAAGCTGGACACGCTCAGGCTGGCCACCAGCTACATCGCCCACCTGAGGAACGCCCTCAAGGAGGACAGGGCGCTCGACGGATTCACGGAAGGGATCAACAGTACGGCGGACGGGGCGGTGCACCCGATCACACTGGTAATAATAATAATAGTAGTTATAATAAGAACTAGTGGTGTATGGCATCGTGCCTTGAGGAAAATTGCTGGTACTTCCCGTATCGTTATGAAATATGCGAGAAATTTAAACGTTTTCAAATATATTATTACAAATACTGTTATTGTTTCATATTTTTTGCTATTTCGTTATATATGAGCAAATCAAATGGAAATCATAATCAATTTATCTCCAGAAAGAACATTAACAATCGTCATTTCATTTCAAATTCAATTTAAAAAAAAAATAGTTGCCTAATTACACAAAATTGAAAAAGTGCTCCCGTATAGTCACAGTCTAAGCTCATTTGCAAATAATTTGTGCGACATTTTCAGTTATACTGTGCTTAGCTTGGCGGCATTTTCACATTTTTCAATAGTTTTTACACAAATTGGAAAAGTGCTCCAATACAAAACAGTCTAAACGCTAAAGTTTACTGTAATCAATAGCTAACTACGAAACACCAAAAACGTACATAGACATACCCTCGGGCCTCGGCACAGATTCTTTTTAGAACTTCGGAAGCACGAGGCCAAATTCTAAACTTTGATGAATTTTTACAATTCAACTGCGTATCGCAAGCCTATAATATTTTACTATGCTGTTTCAGACTACGGAATCGATCGTCAAAAAGAATCAACATTTAAACAAAAAAACGGCCCGGCTGATCTTTACCAAAAACTGATCAACTCTTTCTCTCAAACAGTTTTTAAATTTCAAAATCGATTCAAATTGTGGGCTAAAACGTGGTCAAAAAATTTTACACCTTTCTACTAATTAAAGAAACGGCTCGGCCGATCGTCGCACAAAACTCCTTATCGAGTTACATCGAATGACGTTTAATTTTTTGAAATCGGTTCAGCCGTTTTTGAGAAAACGTTGACAAAAGGTCAAAAATCGGTTACATACATACACGTACAGTATACATACTTTTCCAAATTTGGTCTCATTCGATTCAAAATGACTTGAAACGTCGAGAGAAATTTCCGAAAGAAAGAAGATTTCTTTCGGAATCTTAAAAATCAAAAAGTTCAATTAAAATCATCAAAAGGCTTTCACAATTAATTACGAAGAAACGGCTCGGCCGGTCTTCACCAAAACTAATCAGCACTCAATATCTTGCAACGTTTTTGAATTTTTATAATCGATTTAAAATTGTGAACTAAAAAATTTACACTTTTCTGCTCGGTATATTTCCATTAAAAAAGATGTGTTTTTATTTTATTTAAGAAGTGCTTTACGCTAAAAGTGTGAAAGATGAAAGATTGGTATGGATTTCAAAACCCGTAAGCAAAATTCTTAAGAAAAATATCTCTAGATTGGTGAAATTAAGACGTTTGGGATTGTTTTCTTTATTTTTAATATGTCAACTTTGAATGAAAGAAGGAATAAGATTTTCAAACGTTGCAGCATCTTTAGATATAAACGAATTTCTTAATAAACAATTTGTATAAAAAATACACTTTACAAATATAAAATGATAATTTTTTTAGGCCTCAAGACCATTAAATGAAAACTAAAGTTAGTTTCTCCATTATTTTTGTCCTTAGCATTTATATCATGGTTTGGACTATTTTTCACACATATGCCTTTTAATTTCACATTTATGTACTATCATTGCTTAGTATTGTTAACATCTACTTCACTTTTAAATTAATCCGTGTATTGTCCTAAAAATAGTGGAATCAATTTCTGATTAAAATTAAGTTTAGTCATATAATAATTATTTAATAACGATTAAAATCTAAATGTTACTATATTTATATTATAATAATTAAATTATTTGTATCGCTATGAAGATGATTTAAATTAAAATTCAAAAATTTGTAAGGGTAATTAAAATTTAAAAAATTACATTTACTTTGATACTTTGGTTGAAAATTTTATTATGTATACATATACATACACACACACATTATATATATATATATATTAATAATATATTCTATGTATGTTAAATATGGGCAAAAATCCTTTCGACACCTTTTTAATCTTTCGACGACGTCGACAATTTGTCAATGTCGTTTGAAGTGCCTTTAGGGGTCGTAATATATTACAAATAGGGTCAAATTCCTTGTAATGGGTCTATATTTTCACCACGAAAATGACAAGAAACTTTCGAACGGATTTTAATGATGCGTGAAATTATCATCAGGAAGAAATGACAAGGATAATATATATATATATATATATATATATATATATATAGAAAATATAAAATTGTATCTGATTCAGTTACCATTATAAAACCAAAAGCAAAAAAACTGAATATTATTTGATTTATTAATATTCAATTTATAAATATATATTTTATTTTTAAAACTGGTCTATCATTTTAAACAAAACGAGTTTATGGTGATTTCATTAAATATATAACATTGAATAATTTTTTAAACTTTTAGCCATGCAAATAAAATCAAACACAAATTATTTTCCCTAGATTTTGCGCGTGCACGTTAACCTAAAATGGCGCACCGACCCAGGTTGCGAATACTTTTAGGGAAAAACTTGCCCTGACGCCGTATTAATATAAAGATAAAAAATATTAAAAAATATAAAGATATTCAATTATAATAGATATTATAATAGTGAAATAGTCAAATGAAATGTATATATAAAATGTTTTATAATCTCTTATACCAGGCCCCTCTGTCTGACAGAGATGTGAAAATAATGTATATATATAAATAAAATAAATAAAAATAATTGTAAAGAAAAAAAAATAATCAAGCCGAGTTAGAATGGAAGATCTTATCTCATATTTCAATTTCATCATCAAGTACCTACATTTTTTAGTATCATTAGATTTGCAGTAAACTTTTAGACTTTGCTATTAGGTGGATATTATTATTATGGATGAAAGTTTGAAAATAATGTATTTCGAGCGATGAGTCGTATGTAATATGTTAATTGTGTCGTTAAGCTCGCGCCAAAGAAAAAAGGCAGTTGAACCAAAGGAAGGCAAATGTTCCCAGCTGTTGCCTTTGGCCGAGATCCGAGATCCAGGGAAGCCAGAGCGACGTTTCCGCTTCGTACCGATTTTCCCAACATACACAATTATATATATATATAATATAGATATATATATATATATATATATATATATACAACTATTTACATCTCGTAATGCTTCAACACCCGAATACAAAAGAGAATCCTCTAACCCAAACATTAAACGAAACGCAATCAAACAAAAATACATACTCGCAGAAACAAATAAACACTTTGTCTTAAAACCGATGACGTTCGAGTGAACAAAGAAGCTAAATATATCACAAAATTTACTTTTACTAATAAGGATAAAATAGCTAAGTGTATAATGCAGAAAAATGTATTACAAAAGAGTGTAAATACAGTGTTAGGCAAGTTTTTGCCCGAAAGTGATTGCAACCTGAATCAGCGCGTCGTTTCAGGTTAGCGTGAATAGGGGAAAATATTTAGTGTTTTTACTCAATCAAATGTAAATCATATATCGATTTATGTCAAAGTTTCTAGAAACATTGATAGCTGTCATTTCATAGTGTTTTGTTGATTAAATTAAATTAAATTGACTAATTTTTTTATATTCCAATATTTCAAATATAAACTGAGATTTTTAATATTGCCTGTAATCTAAGTTCGATATAAATGGATACGGTGCCCATAAAATTTAAAATCGGTTCAGTAGTTTAGGTATCTATTCCGGAATATGAATATTATATATGAATAAAATTTATATTATTTCGTTTATCAACAACAAAATATTTTTTTCTTACCACTCCGGCAATTTAATTATTAATTAAATATATATTTAATACTCATTTGTTATCATTATTATCTATTTAACAATTAAAGCATCCCAATAATATTGAAAAATAGCTAATAATTTTACAAAATTGAATTATAAATAATTTAATTATAAGAGTATCTCAATAATATTACAATATACAATATTTTTCGTACAATTTAATTGTATGAATATGAGATTTTTGCATATCTCAGAACATTTTGGCATATCTCACAATCAGAACAAATAGATGTGTTTGTGGGTGTATGAATGAACAGACTTCAGAAATTTAAAAAACATTCGATTCCTATTGAAAGGGAGATGTGCTGATTAGATTTTGGCAAAAGCAGGTCCAGCCGTTTCGGAGATACGGAGCTAAATGTGCAAAAAATAGCAGTTTTGGAGAAAAATAAGCATCCGATTTGAATGATTCAAATAACTTGGCAAAACAATTGCTTTTGAATAAAAATTTATTTAATTTTTTTCTAAATTTTTGTTTGTTTTATACCGAAAATAATTCAGATTTTAATTTTAATGCTTGCTAAAGTTCTAAAATACACTTATATACTTTAAATAAATTATTTCAACATTGCAATTCAGTTCATATAATTCTTATAAATAATTAGACAATGTTACAATATTTATAATAATCTATTTGAAAACATTCAATATTTCTTGAACATTTCGTTACGGTACGGGAAGTTCCAGCAATTTGCCTTAAAACACGATGCCATACACCCCACTAGTTGCGTTTTTCTTTCGAAATAAATATTAGTAAGTTTTTTCCTACAAAGCACCCGCAACCTGGATCAACACCTCGTTTTAGGTTAAAGTGCACACGCAAAATCTAGGGAAAATACCATATTTTTGTTTTTATTCTTAAATATAAATTCTTTTACAAATTCTATTTATTTTAGAATATTCATAGTTTCTGCAATATTTATTAACGTCTCGAAATATTAAAAAACCGAATATGAATTTTCTCTATTAAAAATTCAATTATTTAAATAAAGTTGGAAATAAATCAAATATTAAAAATAATAATAAAATAAAATAATAATAAAACATTTTTTGGAGACATGTGATTTATGAAATTATTTTAACCAAAAATAAGCCTAAATCAATTTTTTGGTGTCAGTTATATACCTGAATATTATTTTGAAAACTAAGATAAAGGGAAATTTTTTGTTATGAATTTATTAACCATTTATCAATTACTATTTATTTTTT